TGTGTGTATGTATATATATATATATATATATATATATATATATATAAAGATGCTGTTGGTTGGCCTGTGGAATAGTATAAGAGCTACCCCTTGAATACTAGCAAAACAGGAGCAAATTGAATATCTGGTCAGAATATCTACAACCATATTCCAAGGGGCCCCTCTATTTTAGTCACTGCCACCACTGTACCGGGTGGCATTAAAACACCGTACCATTTCTCTGCTTATCCAGAGATCTCCAGCTTGATTTGAATTTTTTGATCCTCCAACCACACAGAAAGGAGGAGATCAGTGTATCTGTGCAGATAAATCACAATTCCTAATTTCTCAAGAAATGCCTTTACTAGTCATACCATTCTCCGAAATATCTCTGCCTCCCTCATGTTTAAGTCTTTGTTAGGAAGAGTCAATAACATTTTGGATTCTCTAGTCACAAGGCACCAGTCATTAGTTTAGCAAAAGGAATTATGATTAGATAGAAACATGGTTTCACACATGCAATGGAGCTTCCTGTCATTTGAAGAAACAAGCTTTAAAAAGGAAAAGTATGCCTACCTATTCCAAGAAATATATCCATATATTAACACTGTAATCTGTTTCTTGATATTGATTGGCAGATGCAATTAGCCATCTTGAAGGATGAGCAAATGCTCTAAAACCTTTTATAAAAAAAATGAAATTTTTTTTATAATGTAGGTGCCTCATTCACCTCATGGCATGAAAATGTTTAAAACTGCATAGAATACTACCTGTATGTATACAGAGAAAAAATATATTTTTTAATTGGTGACATCTGTTTTTGGTAACTCACAAATCTTATATTAAAAAACAGATACTTGTTTACTGAAATACCAGTTCTTCCATTCTCCAATTAACTAAGGCACATTGCTCAGCATTTCATAGTTAATATTCAAAGCAGTCTATGTCCCAGATATAGTAATCGCATCATTAAGTACACCAAGGGTTTCACCCTGAGGTCAAAGTAGTCAGAATTTGCAAGTATCAAGGGCAATTTGTTTTCTCTCCAGTCACATTCCATTTGTGTTAGTAAAGATTTTTTTTTTTTCTTCCAGCCTTCCCCATGGTCACTTTTCTTTCCAAGACTAGAGGCTGCTTTGTTCCATTCCAGTAGGTCTGTCTATCAGTGTCCCCATGCCCTCATACTTGTTTGGGCCATCCATAATTGCTGTTGTATGCATTTCCCACAGAGCTATCACAGATATGTAGACAGCAATCATATTCTTAGTATAGCCTTCAGGATAGCAGCAATTTATCACTTGTACCTTTAGCACATTCTCCTGTTTACTCCTCTGAAACATCGGATTCTTTTTGGATATTTTAAACTGGCTGACTTAAACAGGACCAAGAGTTTTCATGCTTTAAACAATAATAATTTGTAGTGTGAGATTTCCTCCCTCTTTCCATTTTGACAATTGTTGTCCACATTTTATAATAGTCCCCAGTTATAAACAAAGGAAGTAACATTGTAGGGATGGATATTTTGGGGTTTCTGTCATTCTGTAATACAGTGAAATAGCTTTATTGTGAAAAGTTTCCCCCAACTTCCTCTTGAAGAGTGTTACCCAAGTCTAACTATAACAGTAAAAATAAATCTACTTTCTGTAGTCAGGACTGAAATTGAATTTTCTCACACAAACCCGGGTTATATGTATGTGGGATGAGGGTAGAAGAATATCTGTTGAAATCTATTGTTAGGATTTTAACACTTTTACATAATTTTCTATTAACTCCTGTATAATTTCTCTTATAGCAAGGATTTCATTATTGGTTTAATTCCTGTTGAATTTTTTTATACTTTCCCATAAGTGGTAACATCACTGGCAAATTTCTCTGGATTTCTACTGTAATATCTGTCTTATACCCAAAATGACTTCCAGGTTCTGATTACATTTTGTATTTTCAAAGAGGATGCATGAATGATCTAGTAAGTGTTACTATTTCTAAAAATAATGTGCTTGTATTTCTAATAATCTGGAAGTTCAAAGCTGGCTCTTCATAACTCTTCAGGAATTGTAAGTTATGTAAAAGCCTTGAAGATCCTATATGAAACATTGCCTTTCATATCGTTGCTATTATTTATATCACTGTAACATACATGGAACACAGCCAAGATTGGGGTTTCTTCTCCCTTAATCACAAGCAAGTCTTTTGTGATCAGATAGTTTTTGGTTTTTTTATCCAGGGCCTTCTCAGTTCATCTAATGAGATTTCCAATAACTTATTATTTTTTTTTCCTTTCAGTTTTTTAAAATGGATTTTTTTAATAGTTTGAAAATCTGAGATTAACTAGCTTGGGGACTTGAGTTGATTAAGTGAGAATTACAATTGCATTCTTTTTTCGCAAAAGGAGGGAGATGCACATACCTTCCCTCCCTAAATTGTAACTGCTTCATGAGTAAAACAATAAATTGTCATAAGCTGAAGGTGAAAACAATACCAGAAATATAAACTGCGACATTACCAAAAAACAATCTTCTGTTGTTGCAGATTCTCTTACAACACTTCAGCTGGAAAGAAGGTGCTCATGCTCATAGCTAATGACAGATTCAACAGTTAATGTATGCTACTTGCTATGTTAGCATGAAATTAGTACTTTTCAGAAGAGGCAACATAAAAACTGTTAGAATGTTTATCCACACTGGTTCAAACAATATTATATGAATGAAAAATGGTCTCTGAAGTTTCTATTACATTCTTGCCTTTATATGCATTTGTAAGTGTGTTTATATTAAACAGATCACATCAAATCAAATAATAGATATATGGACAATTTTTTTGAGATCCCAAAATGTCACTTATTTTGCCATTCAATAGAAATTGTTCTAAGCTTGGACAACTCCAGAACAAACATTAATATATAAAAGACAAACAAAGAAAACATTTCAAATTTTGAGTAGAGGCAGTAATTTATTGGCTGCCTGCTCTCTTTCAGACCTTCACGGTATAATGCCCAGCTAGGTAGACTGCCCTGAAATTTCTCTGTCATGCTCACTGACTGATGGATTTTCATCAAGTTTTATCACTGGGTGGATTCAGCTGCAATTCTAGATAAGTTTCAGCTGGAGACAGTCCAAAGTAATGAAGCAAAGTATGTATAAAAGGAGGAAGCTGAAAAGTTTCTCAGACACAGCCAGATCCCAAGATACTGTAAATTGATCTTAATACAGCTATAAGAATTTGCAACAGCTGGTAACTTCTCCCGTGTTAATATGTTCATGCAGAACGTTTCTAGTGTTTGGGGACAATCATGTTTGACACTATTCTGTAGCAGAAAGTACAGAACCTGAAAGCTGTGTTTTCATAAAAGGCACCAAAACTTTTTAAATATTCTAGCTCCTTGATACAACTTTACTTGAAATATCATCTTCAAAAAAATGCTACTCTTATGTTTGCCATCTTGTGGCTTAGACACTGCATAGTTTTTAACAATTAAGAGTCTCCCATTGGGTGACTTGGTCTTATTCATGTATTCTAACCTTTCCCACAAACACAAAAGAAACGGGCACCTTGAAGTCTATAGGTAGCAACTAGGGGTGTACTAAGCTTTGGTCGCTGATTCAATATGGAGAAGATTTGACTCAATTCAGCAGCTGAATCTCCAAATCTGAATTGAATCAGGAGACCCATTAATCTCTCCGACTTGATTTGGATGCTTCTGATTCGATTCGGAGAGATTCAACAATTAAGACATAGACCCAGCTTTATATGTTTTTTCTACATACCTCAAGGTCCAGGTGCAACTTCTGACCGCTAAGCTGATGGGCCAAATCTCCATGTCCCAGAGGGACAGTTTCTGGGAAACAAGCCATCTCTCTTGCAGCAGGATCCAGGATGGGGAGTCACCGTCCCTGCAGAAAAAGCCCTGAAACTAGGACAGACTTACCCATTGCAGGCTGGGGAGAGGCAAGCAAGCTGCGCTGGCATGAAATGCCTGCACATTTTGTGAGTCGCTTTCATTTCCAGCTGATGCCAGCACGGGAGGGTGACATCATCCCCAGACGCTGCCCAGCTGGCATAAAAGACGGCACTGGGGAGACACCGGGGAAGCAGATGGAAAGAGTGCTTCCCACACCAGGTGTGAGCGGTGCCAGCATGCAACAAGGGACTATTTGCCTACTAAAAGTCACTGGATGGAAGGCCTTTGTTGGAAGGAACATTCAATACTACACTTACACTATTTTTTGACCAGAAGAAAGCTAAAGGATAATATTTGTAAGAGGAAATTTTGGTAGGAAGGTACAATGTTGATGATATGATGCTCTAGATCCTACTACGTGAGAGAAGTAGTTATTTAAAGAATGCTCCAACTACTCCATATTTCACTTGATGACTTGAGGGATGTGTTTTGATTTAGGCTTTAATGACTTTGTACAAATAGTATGCCCAGAGCAACTGAAGATGAGTTAATTCAAAAGTGGCTTTAAGCCACTTCTGCATTTCCTCCTTCTTTATTCTGGCCCTTTGGAAACAATCCTCAGCATGAATTGAAGCATCATCAAAGCTGCTTTATTTTACATCAGCCTCATATGAGCATGGAGGCATTCTACAGAAACTCTAAGGAAACTGGCAACATCCCATTTTTCTACATCATTCTCTCTACTGATGATCAAGAGCTGGATGCCATAAAAATCTCTATGGTAAATCTAGGCCACCTGAAGACTCATTTATGGAAAAATCCTTAAATGGCCAGCCAAGACAACTTTGGTACAGTTCTGCACAGCTGAAGACTGTTACAGATAAATCCCAATATGATGAAGTATCAGATCTGGCATCTTTACAGCAAATGATAAATTAATGAGTGGGAATGTGGAAAAGCAAACAGACTTTTTTGCAGCCTTTACCTCCTTTTTGGCCAAATAATACTAGAAGTTTGCTATAAATTCCCATTTCTGTTTTGAGAAAGTCCAGCAGTTTTCAAAGTTCATCATAATCTCAGAATAAAATAACAATTGAAAACCTAAAATGTGTGCACTGGGAAGCAAGATAAACTCCCTTATTGTTTAGTCCTATTGGTCGGGGGATACCTTCCCTTTCTTTGTGTCCTGAAACTTTTTTTCTCTCGTAACATCTCAGTATGCCACATCTTCAGCTAGTACACACTGACAGTTAAATCAGTGTTCTGATTTTATACCAGCTGGGCATGTGGCCTCATCAGTTTAGGATTTAGAACACAAAATGAGTAGCAAATGCAGTATGTTCTCATATATAACACACAGATAGTATCCTGATGAGGCTGGTGATATAGAAACAATACTTTATTTACAGGAATTTGTATAGACTACTTAAAGAACTAATGGTTTTGCCACTGGATTTGCAAAAGTTTGGAGTCTAGCCCTGAATGATGCAGAGTAAATCTTCATCAGGAAATGTGGCATCCCAGAAAACATTCTGCTACACCAGGAAGTTCCTGCTGCTTGCTGCATCACCCAGACTCTTTCCTGGGATGCCACACTTTTGGGACACTGTTCCCAGGAGGACATACTCTGTCACACAGTGGCCAATGACTTTGGAAAAAATCTTGTTTACGTATGTTCTACCTTCCAAAAACAGGGTGTGTGTTTCATTTGGGGGTTTGTTGGACATGAGAAAATATGATATATGTAAATAGATGCCTATTTTTGGAGACATCAAGAGA